CAATTTGGCAAGACCTCATCTCTACAATAAATCAAAAATCAGCCAGGCGTGGTAGCACATGCCTGTAGTTCCAGCTACTTGGAAGGCTGAGGCGGAAGGATCGCAGGAGCCCAGCAGGTCAAGGCTGCAGTGGCCAGGAGCGGCCACTGCACTCCAGTCTGGGTGACAGAGTGAGACTTCAACTCAAAAAAAAAAAAAAAAATGTGTGTGTGGCAGTCTAGCTACATATATGTGTATAGATATATCAATGTGAGTCTGTGTTCATGTCAGTGTAGATCAGTAAATGTGGTATGTGTGTGTGAGTGTGTGTGTGTGTGTGTGTGTGTGTGTGTGTGTGTGTGTGTGTGTAGGGGGCCTGTCTGTAAGACTATATGACTGCTTGGTGCCTATCCAGGCCCCATGTAGACCATCTGGGACTGAGGAAGAGGTCTCAGGGATCTCGGCCGCAGCAGCTGAGAGCCCTCTACCTCCCAGGAGCCCTCCACCTCTCAGGAACCTGCAGGTGCTCCAGAGGAACCCCCAAGCCAGCTGGCCTTGGTCTTTGACTGCTGAACACTTGGGCTTTTGGGCCTTTCCCAGCTGTCCCCTCAATCTGGCCCAGTCCCCAGAACAGGCCTGGTTGGCCCACAGCTGTCCTGCTGTGAGAAACAGGATCCCAGAGGGCACTCTGGCTCATGGAGTCCTTGTTGTCTGGTACAGTCATTAGGTACACACAGAGAAGCCCATGAGGCAGGTATTCTGGGGAATGAAGGAGTTGATGGGCCCAACACAGCCCCTGTCCTTCTGGAACTTTTTGTATGGCTACGGTACACTACAGGGGAGGGACACATAGGGTTAGGGTCCAGGAAGTTGGTCAGGAAGAGAACTGAGCCCAGTAGCTCAGGAGTTCCCTGCGGGCTCTGAAATGCAGGGAATCTGATGGTGTTGGCCAAAGGAAACCCGAGTGAACAAAATCAGAGCCTTCCATCTTTCAACAGAATAGAAATGTTGAACCAACACATGAACTGCAGGATACCATGTTGCCAAAACACCTGTCCAGAACAGGGGCATTTCTTTTCAAAAACAAGACCTTGATGGGACCTTCATTCAGCAGCACTATTTATAACAGAAAAATAATTGTGACCATAATCACCTAAATGTTCCACACAGGGCACTTCAGAATGCCTGTCAACTGTAATAGTTCCCTCTCATTTTGTTTGTGTATTTTTTTTTTCTTTTAGAGAAGGGGGTCTCACTCTGTCACCCATCCTGGAGTACAGTGGTGCCATCATAGCTTACAGCAGCCTCAAACTCTTGGGCTTAAGCAATTCTCCCATCTCAGCCTCCTGAGTAGCTGGGACTACAGGAACATGCCACCACACCCAGCTAGTTCCCTCTCTTGACCTTACATTGTGTCCAGGTACTGTCCCATTTCCTTGTTCCCTTTTTCAGTTAAACTCTCCAAGAGTTGCCTCATCGTTCCCACTCCTTTTCTTTTCTCTCTCTTTTTTTTTTTTTTTCAGTTGGAGTCTCACTCTGTCTCCCAGACTGGAGTGCAGTGGCCGCTCCCGGCCACCGCAGCCTCGACCTGCTGGGCTCCGGCTATCCTTCCGCCTCAGCCTTCCAAGTAGCCGGAACTACAGGCGCGCGCTACCACGCCCGGCTAATTTTTTGATTTATTGTAGAGATGAGGTCTCGCTGCCCAGGCGGGTCTCGAACCTGCGGGCTCAGGCAATCCACTCACCTCAGCCTCCCAAGGTGCGGGATTACAGGCTGAGCCACCGAGCCCGGCCTTCTTTTCTCTTTTAAGCCCATTCCCAAAAGACTTTCATCCCAACACTCCTCTGAAACGGTGGGCCAATGCTCCTCCTGTGCCAAAGCCCAGGGGAATTCTTCATCCTCATCTTATTCGATTTCTCTGAAGGACTTGGTGGACTCACATTATCACTTGGCTTCTGGAGCTCCTAGTTTTCCTTCTAGCTCACTGATTGCCCTTTCTCCGTCTCTTTTATTTATCCGTTTGTCTAAAAAATAGAAACTAGATCTCACTATGTTGTCCAGGCTAGTCTCGAACTCCTGGTCTCAAGCAATCCTCCCGTCTTACCTCCCAAACTGTTGGGATTACAGGTGTGAGCCATCGCAGCCCCTTTCCATCTCTTGTGCTGGATTCTCCTTTTTTCTCTTTTTTTCTTTTTTTTTTTTTTGAGTTGGAGTCTCACTCTGTCGCCCAGACTGGAGTGCAGTGGCTGTTCCCGGCCACTGCAGCCTCGACCTGCTGGGCTCCGGCGATCCTTCCGCCCCAGCCTTCCAAGTAGCTGAAACTACAGGTGCATGCTACCACACCTGGTTGATTTTTTTGATTTATTGTAGAGATGAGGTCTCGCCAAGTTGCCCAGGCGGGTCTCGAACCTGCGGGCTCAGGCAATCCACTCACCTCAGCCTCCCAAAGGCACGGGGTTACAGGCTGAGCCACCGAGCCCGGCTGTATTCTCCTTTTATTATCCATAAATACAGGCCTGTCCCAGGGCTCAGCCCTTGGACCTCGATCTACACTTGTCTCTTGGTTGGCCACAACCAGTTTAATGGCTTAACCAACTATACACTACAGCTCCTAGACTTCTCTCTCTAGCTCTGATTCTCTCCTGAACGCTGGACTTGATTATATGTAACTGCTTCCTTGACAATTCACTAGTCTGATGTCTAGAGGCATTGAGATCTTAACATTGTCCAAAGCAAAGGCCTTGACTCACGTTCCTTCTGCTCTGCCCCAGTCTGCTCTTCCCATAGTGCTCTGTCACAGTAATGGTACTATTGTCTACTCAGACCCAAGTCAGCAACTTGAAATTCATTCTAGAAACCTTGTGCCCTCACCCCACTTCCACTCCATCATAAACTCTCATTCAAAACAGATCCAGAAACCACTGCTGCTCACCACCATGGTTGCAACAGCCCTGCCTACATGGACTGTTGTAATGGGTGCTCCACCGACTCTCTGCTTCCATATTTACCCACTACAGTCTTTCTCCACAGAAAAGGTGAATTTTTTAAAATGGAAATCACATTTTTAAATCACATCACGTGCCTTGGTTACTCAAAAACTCCAGTGAGGCTGAACGCAGAGGCTCACGCCTGTACTCCTGGCACTCTGGGAGGCCAGGGTGGGAGAATTGCTTCAGTCCAGGAGTTTGAGGCCAGCCTGGGTAACATAGCTAGACCTCGTCTCTACAGAAAATTTTAAAAATTGCCAGGTATGGTGGCACATGCCTGCAGTCCCAGCTACTCCAAAGGCTGAGGTGGGAGGATCGCCTGAACCCAAGAGGTCGAGGCTGCAGTGAGCCGTGATTGTGCCACTGCTCTTCTTTTGTGCCAGGGTCTTGGGAGACAGAGCAAGACCCTGTCTAAAAAAAAAAAAAAAAAAATACAAAAACTCCAGTGGCTTCCCTTCACACCTAGAATTAAAACCCAAAGTCAGCTGGGCTCAGTGGCTCAGCCTGTAATTCCGCGCCTTTGGGAGGTTGAGGTGAGTGGATTGCCTGAGCCCGCGGGTTTCAGACCCGCCTGGGCAACTTGGCGAGACCTCATCGCTACAATAAATCAAAATGAGCCGGGCATGGTAGCGCGCACCGGTAGTTCCAGCTACTCTGAAGACTAAGGCAGAAGGATCGCCAGAGCCCAGCAGGTCGAGCTGCAGTGGCCGGGAGCAGCCACTGCACTCCAGTCTGGGTGACAGAGTGAGACTCCAACTCACAAACAAACAAACAAACAAACAAACAAACAAACAAACAAACAAACAAAACCCAAAGTCTCTACCACAGTCTATGAGATTCCACATGACCTGGCTTCTGTCTCCATTTCCACCTCGACCTCTATTGCCTAGTCTTTCTGGCTTTCCCTTGCTGTCCTCAAACATACAAAGTACCCAGGCCTCTGGTCCCTTGCACTTACTTTTCCCTGTGCCTAGAATGCTCTTCTCCCAGACATGCGCACGGCTGTTTTCCACTGACATCACAGAGGTCCCTGCTTTAACGTCACTTCTTGGAGAGATCTGCACTGATTACAGGTGACAGGTCATCCCTGTTTGTCTGGATTTAAAGGGTTTCAGTGCTAAAACTGGTATAGTCCTGGGCAAACCAGGATGGTTAGTCACTCTACATACTGGTCCTACTCATTCTCTGCTTTATATTTTACTTTGCAGCACTTATCACTCTGACACTTTATTATGCAACTATTTGTTTTCTGTCTCAAACTAGAACATCAGCTCCACCAGGACAAAGACTTTTCTTCTTTGCTATTGAATCCCCAGCACCTAGCACAGGGACTGGAATGTAGTAGGTGCTCAGTATATATCGGACTAAGAATCAAGATATGAATTGGTACATATATAAAATGGAAAATTACACAACCAAAAAACTATACATAAACCTATAGAAATCAAAACAGAAGCATATATGTGATACAACGTCAGGCAAAAAAGCAGGTTTCAAAATGGTAGGTGTACTAAGGGTACCAATTTGGTAAAAGAAAAAAAAAGATTTGTCTTTTTTTGGTTTTTTTTTTGAGTTGGAGTCTCACTCTGTCACCCAGGCTGGAGTGCAGTGGCATGCTCGCGACCACCGCAGTCTCAACCTGCTGGGCTCAGGCGATCCTTTCACCTCAGCCTTCCAAGTAGCTGGAACTACAGGTGCTTGTCACCAGGCCTGTCTAATTTTTCTTAATTTATTGTAGAGACAAGGTCTCTTCAAGTTGCCCAGGTTGGTCTCAAACCCCTGGGCTCTGGCAACTCTCTCGCCTCAACCTCCCCAAGTGCTGGGATTATAGGTGTGAGCCACTATGCCCAGCCTTCAAGACTTTGGCATGCCCATGGCTCACCACCACCCTCCCTCATCACCTCAACTGTGACCCCCCACACCTGCAAAGCTCTCAGTTCTGAAGACTTTCTTCTCCTTTGTACCACTGACCACTATGTTCTGATCTTCTGGCCAGAGGCTAGGCATCAGTATCTTCTCCTAACTCTTCTGACCTACAGAGGTATCTGTGAACTCCCAGGGGGTCACCCAAGCCCCTCCATGAACCCTCAAGCCTGTTCCTCCCTAACTTGTTGCAGCCTGGACTTGCATCCCTTTGGCCCATCACCATGTGGGCCTGCTTATATCTCCCTGGACCAGCAGAATGGAGTGGTGGCAGCGTCACACAGTTCTCTCTCCTAGGAACATTCCCCAACCAATTTGGTCTGTTTGGCTAACGCTTTTCATCCATTCCCATTTGCCTTCCCCAGAAGCCAGACCACCTCCTGATTCATGAACCCTCTTCTGTAACTGTACCTGTCTTCACTCCACCACAACTTATTCATTTACATGCCTGCCCATTTCAAGTGCCAGATTGATTTGCTTTGTTCTCACAACCCCATAGGCTAGGAACTATCATCATTCCTGTTTTAAAGAGGAGAAAACAGGCATGGAGAGGGGAGGGGATGTGAAAAAGACATGGAACTAAATGACATAACTAGGATTTGAACCCAGGCTGTCTGACACCACATGACCTGGAATTTCAATAAGAAGAAAGTTGGACAAGGAAGGAATGAAGTCAGTGGGAAAGAAATGAGGAGGTAAGTTGGTTAGATAAGAAGGAAGAAAATCAGGGACTGAGAAAGCAGAAAGTTAGTTGGGAGGGAAGGAAAGAAACAAAGGAAGGAGAAGGAGAGGGAAAGAAGTCAGCAGGGAAAAAGGAAGGGAGTTAGGAAGGAAATAAAGTGGGCTGGAAGGATGTAGGTAGCTAGTCAATCTGGCAGCAGGCAGGTGTTGCTCACAGGTAAGCCTCTCACCTGAAAACTCTGGGTTCTAGCTCAGGTCCAGGGAAGCAGCTCTGGGCACTGTTCTGCCTTCTTCTGGCTCTGCATGGTCCTTCCAATCTGAAACCCAATCCTGACTTGCTGAGCAACCTTCCCAGTCAGGAGCGACCTGTCACCCACTCACCCAGGCTCCCAAACTGGCTCAAGCTCAACTTCCCAGCCCTAGTGGCTGAGATCTAGCTTCAGGGCCTTCTGGTTATTAATTAACCACTAGACCTGAATTACTAAGCTGGCAGCACCCACTGGCTCCTGGATGGGCCCTGCCCTGGGGACCCTCTGAACTGTTAAAGTCTACTGTACAACTTAAGTTATATGACCTTGGGCAAGGGACTTCAGCTCCCTGAGCCTCATGTGAACTGTATGATGGTGTGTGTCCTGCCCGGGGAGGGTCTCTGAAGTCCCTTTCAATACTAGAGCTGTCCCACCCCCTCACGGTCCAGCTCAAATGCTCACTCTTCCACCTAGCCTTCCCTGATTCCATCAGCTGAATCCCCTTCCCTTTCCCTTAGAATCCGGGGATTGAAAGGTCTGTCTCACACAACTCTCCCCTCCACCTCTTCCCTGATGGGGGGTCACCAGTCTCTGAGTTCGGGACTTCCACGGACCCTTCCAGGAAAGAGCAGCGTATTCTCTCCTGAGCCAAACTCTGGCACTCTCTTGTGTCAAAGTCTGTCACCCATAGCCTACCTGCTCTGGTATCACCCTGGCACTGTACTGGAAGGAGGATCACAGTGAGTTGAAACTCATGTCCCACTCTGTCCTTCGGAAATCTGAGGCTCACCCCAGTGAGTATGGAAGGAAGGCTTTCTCATAGTTGACCAACAGCTGCCCAGGCCCAGGACAGAGGCAGGGCCTGGCTCACTGGACAGGTGAGAAAAGCTCTGCCCAGTGACCCCTCCTCAGTGGGCCCCTCAGAGTCTGATTTCACACTGCTTTCTCCGTTGCCTTTTCATTAAAATGTCGACAACTTTCCAGTCAGTCTAGTGCGTTAAAAACTGGCAGCTCTAATGTGCTCCAGAGGACCCTGGCATGGCCACTCCCCACCTGCACCAGTATGTGTCTGGCCCTGGCCCAGGGAGGGGAGGTGGCCAGCCTAAGTGCACAGAGCAAATCAGGGCAGTGCCCAGGGTCCGGCCCCTTTCCTGCAACAGCTGCTTCATCAAGCTCCTCCTCCCCTGAACTCGCACGGCTGGTTTTTTAAAAACCCACATAATGGTATTGATTGCATAAACTGTATCAAAGAATTCCAACTTACAGAAGAATGGCAAATAAAAAGTGAAAGCTTCCCTTCAGCCCATCTTCAATCTCATTTCCAGAGGTAGCTGCTGCTAAATAAAGGGTGACAATTCTTCCAGACTTTTGTCTGTGTCCTAATCTACACATCCACAGACACTTCCCCCCAAATGAAAAACACTGTACATATTGTTCAGCAGTTCACTTTTTTTCTCACATATGTTTCCATGTCAACACAGAGAGCAACTTTTTTTTCAACAGCTGCATCACACTACTATTCTACTCCCTGTTCCTTTGCTGATGGACATTTAGCCTGTTACCAGTTTTGCGATACTTCCAACAAGACTGCAGAGAACATCTTTGTCTTAATAGCCTATAGCCTTGTGCTAGTATAATTCACTGATAAGCTTCCGTAAGTGGGAGTGCTAGGATCATTTTAACCTATCTACTGAATTACTGTAAAAAGTTGTGCCAGGCTGGGCACGGTGGCTCACCCCTATAATCCCAGCACTTTGGGAGGCTGAGGCAGGAGGATTGCTTGAGCCCTGGAGTTTGAGACCAGCTTAGGCCTTGTCGCTACAAAACTTGACCTTGTCTTACACAACACTGTCCTCCACCCCTTCCCCGATGGGGTCCACAAGCCTCTGTGTTTAGCACTTTCATGGACACTTCCAGTGAGACTTCATCTCTACAAAACAAAACAAGAATTAGCTGAGAATGGTGGCGTGTGCTTGCAGCTACTTGAGAGACTGAGGCAGGAGGATTGCTTGAACCCAGAAAGTTGAGGCTGCAGTGAGCCATGATTGTGCTACTGCACTCCAATCTAGACAACAGAGACCCTGTCTCAAAAAAAAAAAAAAAAGAAAAAAGTTGTGGCTGGGCTCGGTGGCTCAGCCTGTAATCCCAGCACTTTGGGAGACTGAGGTGAGCAGATTGCCTGAGCCCGCGGGTTCGAGACCCACCTGGGCAACTTGGCAAGAC